TGTGATTACATAAAGGAGCAGCAGAGATGGAGTGTTATGAACAGATCACAACCCCTATTTCCAGTTCCCTGCACCAGATGGGCAGGAGGAGGAGGTAGAAAATTCAGGAGCAAAGTTGAGCTTGGGAAAAAAGAGGAGTGAGAAGAAGCTATTTTTGGCTTAGTCTTTCTTTGTTATCATACTACTCCCATTTTTAATTTGCAAAAAATTAATTTTCTCTTGGTTAAATCTGTCCTACCTTCAGTGGTACTTAGTAAACAATGCTTCTGTCTTCATCTCAACTGAGGTACTTTCTCAACATTTGTCTCCCCCACTTCTGTTGAGGAGAGGGACTGAGAGAGCAACTGAGTGGGCTTCTGGCAGTCATGCAAGGTTAACCCACCACAGTAGCATAAGGATCTATTCTACTCAACAACTTTATGTATTATTTCCTTTTTCCTCGTCCAAGATGATTTTCTATGTAACTGAAAATGATAGAATCATAAAATGTCTTGGATTGGAAGAGACCGTAAGTTTGTCTGGTTCCAAACCCCCACCTTGGGCAGGGATGCCCATGAAAATGATGTGAAAATCAGTGTTCAGAGAAGCTAGCATGTGAAACCTGAGTCTGCCATTCTCTGAAGTTAATTTCCTTTCATAGCTCTAAAGTCATTGTTTTTGTTTTCTTTTAACTCATGGTGAACCAAAGGAACAGGTCTTACCTTCTTAGGCTACTTTTTGGGGGCTTTTGTAGTGGAATTTTCAGTCTATTTAGTGACATTGCTTTCTTAATTATTTCTATGCTTCTAATGATTTTAAAATCAGAGCACATGATACTACAGGCTAGAGAATGTAATATATTCTGGGTATGTCTGTGCAAGGGGAAGGTCTTTGGGATTTTACAGTAGCTAGATAAAACATGTACAATATAAATGACAGTGACCCCCAGCCTTAAAAGAACATTCCCTTAATTCAAACAGCAAAACCAGTGATTTCTTATGGAAAGGAGCATGCTAGACAGAAAACTTTTAGGAGGCTATCTGCAAACCTGTGAGACAAGTGACTGCAGTGAGGTCAGTGTGCTCTGCCAAAAGTCATACTAGGAGCTCCTGCTAGCAGCTGCAGCATAGCTGCATTGGCAGCCTGGTTATTGGCAGAAAAGCATCTTAGCTTCAGCACTGTAAATTTACATTGGTTTCCCTAGCACCCAGTCCTTTTTTTGCTAATAAATGATCCCCTGAAATACATGGCTTAATGAAATTATTCAGTCAATCTAGCTAGAAGAGAGGCTGCTAACAAGGTGGTCGGGAGTAGATGCAGGCTTTCCCTTCCACGAATGAAGACTCTTTTCTTTCGCCAGAAGAGGTTGTGCAGATGCCAATTTCTTTTGTATGCAGCTATCAAATTACTTAAAGTAACTGAAACTGCTAGCAAAATTCTGGAGTCCCTTCTTGTAGCAGAGTGCTTGACAATCTGACTTTTTTCTTCAATCAAAAGCTCTGGCAAAAAAGTAGAATTAGGTGGTGGTTGCTAGCAGCTGTAGAGGACTGAGCTAGATTATGCAGGAAGACTCAAAAGCAGCTTTACATTTCTCATAAGGCACGTAAATGCAGGATGTAGTGTTGGATGAGTCTGACCCTGAAAGGAATGCATCTAGTCAGAGGTCTCTTCAAGCAAAAAAAAACCCAACCCAAAACTCTAAATGTCTGCTTTGTTACACTAAACTGCCAAAAGGCTAGAGTGAAGTGAAAAGTCTGAACTCAAATGAACTAGAGGAGAATTTTACCACAGTATTTTTCCATTTCTGCAGGTGCAAATGCTGTTCCTTGTTGCCATGCAGCTGCTGCTGTATTAGATGACACTGCATTATTTCCCTGGCACACCTGTTTGGAAGTCAGAAATGCTACAGCACTGATATTTAGATTATCTAGCACTTGGAAATTTGAGGGACGTTACTCAGGATAAAGTTAGATGCAAAGGATCATTGAATCAGGCTTTTAGTACTGCAAGGAGAAGTTCATACATATTTGCTAATTTCAAAATCTGTAAAATGGAAAGAATGTACCCATAGTTGCTGCACTTCCTATAACATACTTTTTGCACAGTAGGAATCTGTTAATAGGTTTCAGTATTTCCTGATTAAAAAATATTCCTTGCAAATTCTCAAACCTAGCTAATTTTTAAATATTTATAAGAGCATTCTTTCACCATTTCCGTATGTGTTATTTATTTACACCAATAATGCTTATTAACCTGGGACCCAGAGTTAATGTTGCAAATGTTTACTCAAAAATTGTTATTGTAGAATCACAGAATATCCTGATTTGGAAGAGACCCACAAGAATTATTGAGTCTATCTCCGGGCCCTGCACAGGACACCCTGTCCAAATGCTTCAAGAACTCTGTCAGGCTGGTGCTGTGACCACTTCCCTGGGGAGCCTGTTCCAGTGTCCAGCCACCCTCTGGGTGTGGAGCCTTTTCCTAATATCCAACCTAAACCTTCCCTGAGACAATTTCAGGCCATTCATGCAATGAGGTCTCCCCTCAGTCTCCTCTAGGCTGAACAGACGAAGTGACTTCAGCTGCTCCTCATACAGCTCCCCCTCAAGGCCCTTCGTCATCTTTGTTACCCTCCTTTGGATGGTCTCTAATAGCCTGATGTCTTTTTTATATTGTGACATCCAAAACTGCACACAGGACCTAAATTGAGGCCTCACCAGTGTGGTGTTCTCTGATAATTATTGCCTCTTACTGGTAACAATCTGTTGCTTCAAGAAAAGGAAACAAAAAAAAAAAAAAAAAGAAAAGGAGATATACTTTACAGTGTCTTCTGTACTAAAATGTTTTGGTTACTTAGTAGCTGCTACAGCTCTCATTCAGTCCTGATCATGGTAGATGTCTTTGTGGTAAGAAGAGCTACATCCCAGTATCTCTTGTGGAGAAAAAGTAAGATTCCCTAACAGGTAACCCTTGATATCTGCTGCAATAGGCACTAAAGAGTTTAAATAAAATTAATAAAATAAGTAATTTTTTAAAAAGATATGCTACTTATTTGGCTAATTTTCCTACTTAAGAAAAGATAGTGTTAAATCTTTTGTGTTTGGAGGTTATGTAGAGAAAGTAGCTCCAAGAACAATCGCAAAGGAACATTCACTAAATATCCATATCACTGCTGACTATGTCATAATGACCTGGAGCAGTGGAGGAAAAGGTGTTCCAAATGTGTCAGCTCTAAGGAATGCGATGAATATGCAATAACTTCTTTAGTTGGCAGGTTGTGTATAGTAAAAGCTAATTTTTTTGGCTCAGTAATTTTTTGTGCACTGGCTTCTTTCCCCAGTTCATCGGTTAGTGTGTTGGGTTGAGACCAAGAAACTTGCTATTCCTTTTTTTTTTCCACTGTATACACTGTGATAAGTAACTTTGTCTGCTTTCTCACCAATAACTCAGATTATAACTCTCTCCTGTAAAGCACATTTTTATGTATTATGAAAGTGAATTTAAAAAAACCCAGCTATTTTATAAAATTTTATCAATGATTGCTACAAATTTAACTCTTCAATCCACTGATGTGTTTCCTTTATTCTGTGTGTTCTGGTGTCTATGGGGTCTGATTTTCTGTCTGGCTAATATTCACACATAATGGGATTCACCAAGGCCAGTTGCTAATATGACTTCTTCAGGGCTTGCACTACATGCAGTGTTGCCCAACCAGAGTTTATCGTGATTAGTTTTGTCACTTACATGTTTTCATCAGGGTATAATTAAGTAGGCAATGTGCTAAAGATTAATTGAACATAGAGTGAACAGCCCTCATCCAGGTCACACTCTCCTTAGAGTGAATTTAGTCAGCTTTTCCCTTATGGCTTCTCACTGGATGGATATCCAGCCTGCCAACACAACTGTGTTAGGATGGTATGCATTTCCTATGAAATACCATAAGAATGCTTAAGAATTATAAGCAGATTGAAACTTAGTGTTTTACACCTTTTCACTTAAAAATCCAGCATCATGCATATAACACAAGTTTTAAAAGACTCTTTATTGCAAATGTCTATTGGATCAAATTCTTTCTATTTAGACCAGTGCCAGCTGTGAAGAAGGAGAGAACAAAGGGTATGTTCCTTAAAGACCTAGACAGGGTTTCAGAACTTTCTGACACTTTATCTTGTGTAGCTGATAGAGACATTAACTCTAGCACCACATGTGTATGTAATTACTTTGCTTTGAGCAAAGTTTGATTATCACCCTATCATGATCTTTTAATTGAACTGTAGTTTAATACCCCTATCACCAAATTTAATTGAATACCCCTTCCTCCTTTATTTCTGTTTCTGCAGGTTGCTTTACACAGGAAAAAGACTGCATATTTGTAGTAAAATTTTATTAATTTCTTTGATTAATTTCAATGTCAGCTGGAGGAAAAAAGTATTGGGACCGAGAACAGACAGCTCCTTTTATATCCAGAATTCAGATAATTCTCCATGCTACAATAAAAAGTGCTGGACGCCTGATAATAAAAAGTTCATGCCAAAACTGACCAAGCTTTGTGATGAGACCTTCAGGGGAGAAGGCGGTGAGCTCCATGGCTAGCTGAGGGGGCCCGGCGCACGCGATTACTGTTTAAAGTTATTGAAAGCCGTCTTCAGCTGTACTTGCCTGCTCTGAAAGCCGGCTTGGCGCTCGGAGGAGCAGGGGGAAGGAAGGAGCCGCGTCTCCCGGGCTGCGCTGGGCGCTGGGCTCTGGGCGGGCCCGGGCGGCGGCGGGCGCTATAAAGCGGCGGCGGTGCCGTGGGAGGGTGGCGGTGCAGCTCTGGGGGAAGCAGGACGGCGGTGTGGCGGGGCCGTGCGGCTCTGGGGGAAGCAGGGCGGCGGTGTAGCGGTGTGGCTCCGGGGCGGTGCGGCTCTGGGGGAAGCAGGGAGGGAGGGTGCCGGCGAGCGGCGGTGCGCGGCCGCGCCCGGGGAGCGCTCGGGCTCGCAGCCGCCCGCCGCGGTGCCCCCGGCGGGTCCGGCCGTGCCAGCATGGTGGATGTGTTCAGCGGGCGGCTCCTGGTCAGCAAGGATGGCCGCAGCGTGGACCCCGAGGAGGCCCTGCAGAACAAGGTCGTGGGTTTGTACTTGTCCGCCGGCTGGTGCTCACCGTGCCGCGACTTCACCCCCGTCCTCTGCGACTTCTACACGGAGCTGCTGGAGGAGACCGAGCCCCCCGCCCCCTTCGAGGTCGTCTTCATCTCCTCCGACCACAGCGCCGAGGAGATGGTGGGCTACATGCGCGCCATGCACGGGGACTGGCTGGCGCTGCCCTTCCACGACCCCTACAAGCAGTGAGTACCGCGGCCACCCCGCCCCAGCCAGGGCCGGGGGAGGGCGGGCCGGGGAGCACTCGAACAGCCGTGACCGGGAGTCCTTGGTACAGAACCCCCCGGAAGGTCCAGCTCTACCCCGTCAGCCCTGCCTTGCCGCTGAAGGAGCCCAGGTTGCAGCGTCTCCCGGCCGTGCCTCCGCCCGAGCCGCGGCTGCCGCTGGCTGTCTCACACCGAGACAGCTCGCTCTCTTAGTTTTAGCCCGTCCCACATGTCAAGAACTCGGGTTTGCGCTCTTCGTTGGGAAAACGAAGAGATATTTGAATAAGAGTTAGTGAAGACTCCATGTGTTAAAGAGATGAGTGAGTAAAAAGAAATGAATGGCGAGTGAGGATCAAGTGATTGCTTTTCAGTACGGTGAGAGTTGTTCCTAAGGTTGGTCTGCATCATCTACGTTAGTGCTCTGGGAAAAAGACGAAGAACCAGCAAAACGTGTAACAGAAGTACTTGAAGCAGAGCAAGCTGTGAAGAATTTCAGATAAAGTATCAGCTGGAGTTTAGCAATGGCATACTGCCCCTGGTAACTGGGGTGTAAAATTCCTGTGCTGTTCAGTTTCCAAAGTTCCATTCCTGGAGGCAGCTTGCTCATGAAAACAGCAAAAGGAAAGGATATGGCTGTGTGTATGTAACAGGGTGAAGGAGGATACCAAGAAGTGTTTTGATTACCTAAGTCAAGGGTGGAGACTCATTTGGATGACTTTCAGAAATCTGATTTAGCTCCTATAAGTATAGACTGGGATTACAGGAGCACAAATAAGATGTTCAGGCTTACTGAAATGCCTGTAATTGTAGACTTGAAATACCTGTAAATACTGGTAAAGGAATTTTCCCCCACTCTTTAAGTTAGTATATTGTGGAAATTTTTTTCCAGGTGGTATCAAAGTTAAGAATGTAATACAGTTTTTAAATGTAGTTTGGGCAGATTAATTCTTCTAAGAAAAAATATTTTCTAGTGCATCTAGTAACTTCTAGCTTTCCTTTTAATTCTAGATCCATCCCAGTGTGCAACCTGGTGTGTAACACCCCAGCTACTCACTCAGCAGAAAGCATGTTTGCTGATCTTGTTTTCTCAGTGCAGTTTAACAAACTCAAGAGCTAATAACTTGAAGCCAGGAACAATTTAATCCCATCTTGGCTCATTCCTGGATGCCAACTCTCAGTTGATGTTAGGCCTTTTTGATGACAGTTTCCTCTGGCTTAAAAATATTGTTTTCCATAGTTCTCCACCATCCTCACGGGCAGTAATTGCATTTGATATCTAGTAATCATAATAGAATGCAGGCAAGTTTCCTGATGGAAATGTAGCACTTGAAGTCCCTGCACCCTGCAAGGTGTTCAGCATGGCCCATGGAAATGCTCTTACAGATTCGTCTTCTGTGGATTAGAGGTCTATTTCTGACTGCTCTTGCTCAAGTCATGCAGAGTGGAGGCAAAGAGATAGTTTAATTGGCTTTTCTGGGCCATCCTGTAATGTCCTTCACAGTTCTGTAGAGAAGCATGGCTTGTCCAGCCAGATAACTCTGAGATCACAGTGGCTTACTGAAGAACAAAGTGCAGAGGAATATGGACAAACAATGTTTTTGAAGTTTTGTTTCTCGCATGTAACAATAAAGGACTGTGTGGAGCTGTTCAAGGTCCTTAGGTTGGATTAACTGGTAGTTTGGTATCAGGGATATTGGTGAATCATTATAGACTTACAGAGGATCTGTTTTCACTAAACCGAACTGTAATTCTGGCTAGGTACTAGTCCTAATTAAGAATACGATTTGTAGAAATGGATGAGATAATAATTGTACTATTAATATGTTAAAATATATTAATATTTTTAAAGTCCCATTGCAATTAATTGAATTGGTTATTGTTTTTTTGCTGTGTAAAGAGGAATTTAGTATGTTCAGTGAGGTTAAAATATCCTAGCTGGTTGCTTCTGTGTTTAAGATACATAATTGCAACACAAACTGATGTCTCTTCTAGACACAACAGAGCCAATTTTAAGTATGTCATCTAAAATACTTTTCAACAACAGAAGAACGGCGTTTCTTGGTGATGAATTTTGTCTTAAGAAATAGCTAGCATTCCTACTTGTAGTGTGTGAAGCCTAACACAGCAGTGTCAGGCCTACCTTCAGAGATGCAAAATACTGAATTCAAAGCAGGATCTCCAGATTTTCCCATGCTTTCTGACTATTTCCCAGGGGTGGGACTGCACCTTTACTACTTCATGCAGTCTGTGGTATGACTAATAGGAAATATTTCTCCTGATGCTTTTACTGTCTGCAGGTTGATGTAAATATTTTTGTTGCCTGAGGCGCAGGATTTTGATTCTTAAAGTGGGGTATGAAGACAGTCTGGTAGGAAGTGAGCACTTGGAAGAGGAAGAGGGTATTAGAGAGAAAAAGCAGGTGTAGGACAGAGCATGTCAAGAGCAAATGCTGTTAAATAGGATTGATGTTTTGATGATGGTACACAAAGACATACTGCTGTGATTGTACTGAGCCCTGTGGTGAAAGGCATCATTTTTTGTGAGGGTGCCTCGTGTATACAGTAGTTCTTGCAGGCTGCCAGGTAGACAGGTATTTATTGAGTTGGCCTGTACAGCTCAGTAAAAATTAGAATCATAGAGAATGCCCATAAAAGGAAAATAAAAAGATTGTGTGTCCGTTTTATATTAGGAAGCTTTATGTATGAGGGTGGATTGGCACCTGCAGGAATACTGGGGAGGATGGGGTGTTAAAAACAAAGGTGGAATAATGTTGAGAGTTGAGAGCAATTGCTTAGTTCTTAGACTTTTTAGACTTCTATTGCAAAATCTCAGCAGACACCTTAAAGTTGAATCCCACGCATGTGACATGCATGCTTATGACTAAGATTTAACAATGCTGAAATTTCACAGCTAAAAGAAAATACTTACAGCTGTGTACTACAGGCCAGACTGCTGGAAGAAGATGAGCAACATGCCCACACTTTCATGTGACAGCACTTGCAAGTAAAAGTTTTTATAATTCAAGTGTTGTCAGATATCACATTACACATGTGTATCAAATTTACCTTTTGTATTCTCAAGATTATATTATAGCTGCCCCTTGTTGTCTACATCTCAAGAGCCCTCTCGCATGTAGATCTGAAACCCTTATATAAACATTCTCACTTGTGTTGTGACTCAGCCTGGGTAGGCAGTCGGGCCCCAGACAGCTGCTGGGTCACTCCCTGCCCCCATGGGATGGGGAGAGAATGTGAAGGGTCAAAGTGAGAACATTTAGGGGTTGAAATGAAAACAATTTAATAGATAGTGCAAAAATGAAGATACACAGGCTAAGCAAGATACGGAATGCATTCACTACCTGCCATTCACTGGCAGATATTTAACAGTTTCCAGCACAGGGCGGCCTCATCCTGTAATGATTGTATGGGAAGATAAATCTCCTGGCTCTAAATGTTTTGTCCCTTCCCCCTTCTTTCTTCAGCTTTTACAGCTGATCATAGTGTTAGGTGGTGTGGAACATCCTTTGGTCATTTGAGATCAGATGTCCCAGCTGTGCCTCCTCACAGGTTCTTGTGCACCCCCAGCCTATTCATGGCACGGTAGGATGAGAAAAGGCCCTGGTGCTGGGCAAGCACTGCTCAGCAATAGCTAAAACACTGGCATGTTATCAGTGCTGTTTTGGTACACACCATGCGAGCTGCTGTGAAAAAAAATTACCTCCCAGCCAATGTCAGGATTATCTAGAAATACCAAGTTTGTGCTCTCAGAAACTTTCATCCAGCCTTCCCTTAAGAATCAAAAGATCTAACAATGGCTATGACTACCAGTTCACCTCAGTCTTAATATCATGGGTTTTTATTTCTATTTATGGTTTAATGATGCCATGAGTTGCCATTGGAGTTAGTCCCATGGCACATATGTGGTTTGTGCAGATGAGTCATGGGATTTTAGGTCCCTATCAGAGAGAATGATCTTAATATGCTTGAAGTAATTTTCATACGCACATGTACCAATGTGCACAGTGGCTGAGAGGCATTGTCTCCAGAACTCTTTCTGAGCCTTCTTCAGGTCCGTCCATCTTGCAAGATGCACACAAATGTGAGCAAAATCTGTGCACGCTTCAGTCTGGTTTGATGCAAGCTACTTTCCGCCCTAAGGCTGTCTGAACAAGATGCCATGCTGGGCTGGATATATGCATTCCCCTAGGAAAGTAAAATGTAAGATTCCAGTCTCCATATCAAATTACCTTCAGTCTCCTAGTGCTCTGTCTCTGACTGCTTGAATTGTGTTTATCGCCCACTGAACCAATAAAAAGTGTCTTCCACCCATCTTGTTTGTGGTGCGAGGTGATAGTCGTTTTACATGGCTTCTACACACACTTGTTTGGAATGTATTTTTCACCTGTTTGAACAGCATTCGGAAAGGTCTATGGGGATTGTTGGTTGATTGCTTGTATGTCACAATTCACTGAGAAAGCAAACCTGGTCCGTATTTATTATTGTTGCTTCCATAGTATTTCCTGCATTATTGCTCAGCCAACATAACGGCGGAGCAGTGCCCTTCACCTGTTGATTTTTCTTCTCTTAAGGAAAAATACAGAAGGGGAGGCATGTTTCAGGAATGCCTTATCTGGGTCAGTATTTCACTTAAGCCTTATTCCTCAGTATTTTTTTTCCTTCACAGGAAATCATTGACAGGTCATATATGAGTGTCAAGTATTTTTTAACAATGTCTACATTTTCTTTCTACTCAAATTTCTTAGTTGTTCAAACCTTGTACAACAAACGTTCTTGCTTGTGGTGATGCCACTCAGGCAGCTTATTTCCATTTTGTGTTTTAAATATATTTTGAGTGAGATGTTGTTAGTGTTTTAGAATTTGACTATTCTGTTGCTGTTTGTTGTGTCTCTCCTCTGGTTCTTCTAAAGTTGCAGAGGAGGAGTTGACATTTTTTCTTTGGCAACACAGATGAGTGGTTCTTATTGCATATATTTTGATTGCTCACTTTTCTTTATGTAGAAGGCCTATTCCACTGAGGGAGTTTAAGAAATATCTTCAGTCTCTCCCATTTATACAGAAAGTTTATGCATCATGCTTTAATGGCAATTGCAGGAACTAACTCTATGGGACACTTCAGAGTATTTATGGGGGAATGAATATCAAATGCTAATATAAGTGAGATCCTTCTTCCATCCTGTAAAAAGGGCCCAGAATGACATCTGATTTGGGCTAGGAAAAGCAGGGTGGAAGAGTATGTCAAACTTTGCTTCTATGGACATCTTTTACATCTCCAAGAGCCTCTGCTCCTGTGGAAACTGCAGGCAGCAGAGCATTTGTTTATGGGAAGGATTCTGCAGCTCTCTGAACTCTCAGAGCTACATTTCACTGTGTAGGCTTCCAGCTGGAGCCTTGTTCATCTCTTTGCACTACCCAGTGTTCTGCCTCAAACTGTGAGGAAGCCCAGGCACTCATGACTTCTGCTCTCCCATGTGTCCTGTCCAGAGTAGCTGCATAAGAGAGTAGGAGTTCTCTTTAAATGCTCCTAATGGTGTGTTTTATTTTTAATTTTTTTCCCTCAGTGATCTGAAGAAGAAGTACAACATCACAGCAATTCCTAAGCTGGTGATTGTGAAACAAACTGGAGAAGTCATTACTGAAAAGGGAAGAAAACAGATCAGAGACAAAGGGCTATCCTGTTTCCGGAACTGGCTTGAGGGTGCAGATATCTTTCAGAATTTTTCTAGTTAAAATGTTGACAAATATAAGCAAGAAAGGTATTGTGGAAAACTTGGTAGAGCTCTGGAAAGCCTCTTGCTTTGTTCAGAATGAGAAGGATAAGGCTTATTTATTTATCTTTACTTGTAAACAAATTTTGGGTTTGACTTGAAGATCAGTTATTCTAGTGTCATAAAATGCAATTATTGTTATATTTGTATTGTTCTATCTATGAACCACGGCATTCCAAATAATACTGAAGAACTTCAGAAGAATAGGCTGTCTAGACAGTAATAATAGAAACCCGTGAAATCTATGCAAACACTTACTTTGCAAAGTCAACATAGTAAAAATAAATGCAAAAAACTTATTTATTGATGACATTTTTTCTAGGTGATTAGCACATTTTATTAAGAAAATGAAACTGTTTGCTTTAATAAATTAATTACTGTTTATGAAATATGTCTCTTGTATTTCCTTATCTACCTTAACAAGAATAATCAGAAAATGTAATGATTTTTAAATAGAACACATTTGTTTTTCAGTACTGAACAAATATTCTTCTACTTTATTTTAGTTTTATTTGATTTATTTTTATTTATTTATAGTTCTGCTCAGTTTTCCTTACCCTTGGATTTTAAAACTTGGCCCTATAAGCAAAGTGTAGGATTGGAACTAGATGATCTTTAAGGTCCTTTCCAACACAAGCCATTCTATGATTCTGTGGTGTTAGCTCCCAAGTTAACATCAGGTCAGGTTAAGAAGAAACTGCTTTCCATCTTTTCTTTTGCCAAAATATGTAGAAGCAAACATAAAAAAATTATACCATGTCTCTCTGATGAATGCTCATGTTGTATTTAAAGCACAGCTTGATTTGCTATCCCTTCATGGTTGGGCTCCCAGCCCAGACATCAATGCAATTTATGAGCCAAAAAAAACCACTTCCCATGCAAGCCAAGGGTTTGTTGATTAGAATTTAAAGACTTAACAGAGTTATTATTGTTTCAATTACAAGCACTTACTTGAAGTCTGGTGGACTCAGTTTGGAGCAAGAGAGTCTGTGTCCATCAGTTGTAGTGCTCCAGTTTTGTGTAGTGTCCCAGCAAATCTTTGTGACCCTCAGGGGTCACAGTTCTCTTAACTGCACCCAGAATTCTGACTTCCTGTCCATCCCCTGGACTGTGTGCATTAGTAGAGGGTCCAAAATTTTATGTGTGTGAATAATTGTATCTTGTAAAAACAAAGCTGTGTCATTTTCTTGTAATGAGGGGAAAAAAATTCTCTGCAGAGTGGGAATGTGAAAAGTCACATGTACTTCACACTAGGTAAGAACCAAGTACTCCAGAGAAACTGATTTTTAAATGAAAAATAATAACTCTAGAAAGTGTACAGCAGAGTTGTGAGTTCTGAGCACCTTTTAGCAGTTTTTAAAATTACATCTTTTAAATTCTGAAATTTTAAATTTTTATTTTTTGAAAAAGTTTATATACCACAGGCAATTTCTTATTTTTGCTATCTCACTCTATAAATAGTATTCATATTCTTACCTAATAAATGCTAAGCTCCTTAGTGAATTTTTTTGTGCAAGTGAGATGTAAGCACTGCTTCTGAGACCACATAATGGCAGAGACATTTCAAATATAGGATGAGAAAAAAATCAACAGAAGTTTTTCCAAAAGTTTTAAGATAGGTTACCTGAATGTAATGGAATAGTTTATATAGCAACCTTTTATCAGGTATCAGGCATTACTTCAGCCAAGATATCTTGGTTTATTGTTTGTCTGTATGTGCATATATGAAAGAACTCAGTATTTTGTAACAGAGATGGACTTAGGCCCTTTCAATAACTGACATCAATTAACACAGGTTCCAAGTGAAATTCAGCTAGGAATCTATAATGGTGAAACAAAGATATATACTGTACAAAAAGATTGGTGTGACTTCAATCAAGGAGTGTTGGTTTTGCACATCAGTGTTTGGAATATCAGGAAATTGTTTTCCTTGTCAATGCTAAAATAATCCATGTTTGACCTAGATGAAATACAGAGTAGTGGAAAATATTTTCTTATTAGCAATAAGAAGTCCCTTTAACTTTCCTAAATTATTGTTCAGTTCACTGATGACTTTCTACCTTCTATCTACCTTGAACGTTAGGGAATACTAGTACTTTTTCAGTGGAGTGGGGAAGAAAATCTGACTTTTTAAATACAACAATAGACATATTGTTATGCACAGTGATACTAGTTCATGCTGCACCTTCTTAAAGGAGTTAACTAAAACACAAGTAAAATTAAGAGGAGGAACATTCTTCCTAATTCCACTGGACAAGATATTGTCCATTATTAGTAAGACTTTATGGATCAATGTATGCTAAGATTTTGTAAGAACCAATGGTGTTGAATTTGTTGTAGACTTCATGGACAATCGCTTTACTATGAAAAATGGCAAGGATTGTAAGTTGATACTTTGGGAATTGCTAAATAGCCTGAATTTTATAGAAGCTTGCTGCAGGTGAGTGCTCAGGCTCTCCTGTGACTTTTATTTTAGGAAGAGGCAAAGCAGGCTGGTGGCAGATTCAGACATGAAGTAAACATCAAAAAGGCAATAAGCATCTCTTTGATAATCTTTTATTCCTTTTATTCCTCCACCCTGCTCCAAAAAAGAGTTTGTTCTTCCTCCTCCAGAGCTGCTGCTGTCAAACTTTAATAGTATTATGCTGTATTTAAATATATGTGCATAAAAATGGGAGGGGGTGTTTGATCTCTGTTTATTCACCTAAACTCTTCAATTATGAGGTTTTGGGCTGAAGAAAAAATCTAAAGTAGGTACTTGGAATTTCCTTGAAATGCTGTAATGGTTTCTTGATATGCATTTTTAATACTAACCTCATCTTTCACTTTTCTTCTCAGCTGAAAGTACATACAAAATATCAGTAGCTCTTCTGAAATATGAGTTAAATCTAGACCGCAAATAGGTGTTCTGCAGAACACAAATAGTAGTTGGTGCATACATGACAGGGGTTTTTTGCTTTTCATTTCATTTCCACCCTGTGCACAGCCTGGCTTTGCCTTCTGTGCAGCTGAAGGTTTTGTTAAGACCCAACACCCGTAAGAGTTTAACTGTTATGTGTTCTCTCTGCAGGCAATATTCATAAAAGGACAACCCTAAATTTCTTTCTGCCAGTTTCTGTGAAGATGGATATATAAATGACCAAAACCAGACAGAAACACTTTTAAGCCTTCTACCTCCCCAATGTCATTTAAATTTCTCTAGTAGATGAAGTTCAGTGATCAATCTCATATTGATAATCCTATATTAATTAATGCTATCAGTGTAAGGTGAAGAAGTTACTATGGAAGGTGCTGTTTTCTATCAAAAAAACCCTGCATTTAAGCATAGTGATACAGCCTCAAAGAAATACTTCAAAGAGAAGCTGAAGTAACTCGGCACCAGGGGTGTTCTTATGTGGGCTCTTCTCTGGGCAGGAACTGAGATGGAGCCCTAACAATTCAAACAGATAAACAAAATATGTAGGCAGGTTGTAAATAGATACGAGCACTGTCATGGAAATGTTTGTACTAGCTGTTCCAGTAACTCTGCCTACTTGGATTTGTAGGATATTGACAAATCAATAGATTCTTGGAACAATAAACAACCATTTTGCAAAAGCAGTAGTCAAACCTCCCCAACTCTTCTTGTACAAAAACATTAAGTGCATGCACAGGGCATCAAAGGACACAGTTTTCAGAGGTTACTGTTTTCCCAAGTATAACATGAGGGCACATTTCCCATGCAAACATAAAACTTACCAATATTGTTATGCTTGGATCAAAATTATTTTCAAAGGAAGTTATTTTATTCAAATAAATGGGGTTTTTTCCAAGATTTACTGAGATTCTCTTCTTTACTGGTAGCTTAAGTTTGGTTTTGAAAGGCACTCAGATTTCTAGCAGGACTGTCAAAGTCCTAAGTTCTCTTCAACAGATAGCATCCCTGCTTAAGCACAGAAGAGGCTGTTTTCAGTAATCTTTCATTAATGCAGCCATCTACTGGTTATGCTCATTTCTTACTTTGAAATTAATAGCAATAGTGCTAGCCTCAAGTGGTACATTGAGGCTTATAATCTCTATTTCGTTGTGCAAGTAACTCTGTCTCTCTGCCCCTAGTTTCTCCCAGTATAATATATAATACCTCATTGAATGCCATCTCTGAAGACTGAGATGTTTAAACTCCAGGTATGCTGATGCAATGCCAATGCGTACATATTTTGTGGCCCAGTGCAATCTACATATTGCAGCTGTGTCTTGTTGGTGTCACCAAAGCAAAATTCCACTCTCTACATCTAGATACCTCCTCTCTACTACTTCATAAAACTTCTATCACATATAGTCCCATCTGGTTTAGAGAGCAGAGAACGAAGGGCAGGCAAGGGAAAAGAGCTGACTGAATGCTGGGGTCCCAGTCCTGGCTTTGCTTATCAATGCTGAGAAACGTGTACTCTGTTCCCTGCATCCATATTAAGTGCTGCAGCTAGTTGTGCTAATGAAGAGTGCTGCTTTCACTGATACCTTAATTAACACCTATCACTAGAGGAGTACTCACATCAACAGTATCTCCATTTATATTTGAAGCTGACACATTATCACCTCCCCAAGAGAAATTCAAACAATTGCACATTTAAGGCCATGCATGAATTTGAGCGTATGGAGGATTTTACTATACGGAGTGCAGAGAGATCAGCTGCAGAGACCAAGGCACAAGTGTGAAGTGTTTCCCACATGTGAAAAGAAGAAAGACAGAACTAACTGCTTGAGCTTGGAGTAGTTCCAATGCCGTGAAAGGAGTCTGGAGTTGGTGGGACTTGGCTGGAATAAGTGTGGGGCTGTGACAGTAAAATTCTAGTGTATTTGTTTCACTCATCCTGCATTCAAGACAGCATGACTTTCTTTAAAAATGAACAAGATTGACCAAAATAACTCCCCGTCCAAATCCTTCAATTAGATGGTAATAAATAACAAAACTTCAAACCTTTGACTTTCTGCTCAAGTTGACAGAGTAAGGGCCAACTTTGTCTGAACCTTCTAGCAATGCACAAAACTAAATTACTTTCTGGATGGTATGTGGAAGCAGGCCTTGGTGTGGTAAAAATTGAATTGATGACACAGCAGCATCACAAGTGAGAGATGGAGAAGATGGAGAAGATGGACAGAGGTCTGTGAGTTCGCATGGATGCAGTTTCTGGGTTATCAGGAAGAAATGGGTACATCTGCTGAAACATCTTTCCCTCTGTACAGATGATGCTGCCCTGACTTATCAATCCCCTTCACAGAGCAGTTTGTATCTGCTGGAAGTGTACATAAACTCTAGTATGTAGTAGTATGTGTTATGCTG